ACACATTTATCGAGAAATATAATAGAAAAAATAATCATAGTGCATTAATCAATGGTTACAAAAGTTATTCAAAAAATACTCAAATTTATGTTGTTCAGTTAAATTTCTATTTGATGAAGTTTTGATCGCTGAAAATAAAGATCTTATTTTTATTCTAACTGCTTAATACATAAATATAATTTTAAATTGTATGAGTTGAAATAGTAAAGTTAAATATTTAATCTAAAAAGATGAAGTTCAACCTTTTCACATTAATGTTTTTTCTAGTACAAAAATAAATATGAAACATCTTGCTATTAGTAAAAAGTATATAAGTATGTTTTGATCATACACATAATCGATGCAAAGTTTATATTTACTTGAAATACACGTACAAAGATGTGCTAAAAACTAGTATATAAATTGGTTCACCATTCATCAATTTGAATCGTATTTTGTTATAAAATTAGTTATAAAACTTAATGCACACACCTAAAAAATATATAATATAAAATAAAAAAAGAAACACGTGCATAAATTGTTGCACAATGTGTGAAATTAATTGTAAGTAGCTAAAAGTGTAAAGATGTCATTGTCTTAAAAAATAATGAGGATAAAATTTATGGTCCCTTAAATATTGATAAATTTTAGTTTGGACCCTTATTTTATGTAAACCAAGTATAAAATTTAAAGTTAATTTGAATTTAAAAATGTATTCAAATTATATGAAATCGAATAAAAATGCTCTTCGGTCTTATTTGTTTCCATTAAAATTAAGAGGTTTGAATCTGAATACACATCTGAATATTAAGATGTGGTTTTTAAGTGTTTTGATCTGAATACACATCTGAATATTAAAATGTGGTTTTTAAATTTGAACACACATCTGATTTAAGTGTTTTGATCTGAATATTAAAATGTGGTTTTTAAATTTGAACACTAAATACTTAATGCAATTTGTTTTCAATATTTGAATGTGGAAGTGAAATTGAATATTATATTAATAAAATATTATAAAATTTTCATTTCAATAAAATATATTACTTTTGCTAAAAAAATAAAAATAAAAATAATAATCATGTTTTGGAGTACTATTTTTTTGTTCAAAAACCTTAATAAATAACAATACACCAAAAAATATTGTTGCAACCAGTGTTCTTGACACACATCAATACAATAAAATTATTAATATAAAAAAAATACTTAAAAGGATTTATGAAAACTTATCATTTGGGAAAAAATGGTTTTTGATTCAGAAAAGTGAAAAAGTAAGTTTTTAGTTATGAGATAAGAAGGTACGCCCAAAACAGGGAAGCTATGATTTATTATTTGATAACTTATCAAATGAGTCTGAATGTTGTTAAGAGTTTCATACAAATCTGATTCGTTCAGACCTCTTCAAACGCATTAAGAAGTTATTTAAAAAATAAACCAAATGAACTTAATGCCTGACTCTAAATGATTCAAATTCAGACCTAAAAATTAAACGTACTTAATAGACTGATCTGAAGGATTAAGATTCAGACTTCCATTAAGTGCAAACAAATCAGGGGTGGATTAATAGCTAAAATACACATATCCTCAATAATTTTGCCACAGTACTCTAATTAAGAGATACTTCAAAATTGATGCTTGAAAGAGATTGATTAGAGTAGATAATTAATTTGATACAATTACAAAATAACACTACTTCCGTGCATGAAATATATCAACATACCATAACAATAGTTATATTATTTTGAGAAAATGCACAAGTACCACCTAAACCTATGCCCAATATCTCAGAGATGCACTTATACTATACGAAGGTCATATTACCCCCCTGAACTTATTTTAATAAGTAATTTTCTAGCCATTTTCGGCCTACGTGACACTAACTTGAAAAAAAAAGTCAATCAACATTGGGCCCACAAGATAGTGCCACGTAGGCCGAAAAGGGGTAGAAAATTATTAATAAAATAAGTTCAGGGGGCTAATAGGACCTTAGTATAGTATAAGTGTCTCTGATATTTCGAGCATAAGTTGAAGGGGTACTTGTGCATCATCCCTATTATTTTTAAAAATTTATACTTGTTAGCATGAGATATACGTGCACCACACGTGTTAAAGTTATATAGAGAGGAAAAGGCGGCGAAATCAAATCAGAAGCAATTTCCGCTCTACCATGAATTGTTGCTATTTCCGCACCCCTGTCCGGTGGTTTGAGAGGGAGAGGGAGAGGGAGAGAGAGGGGGAGTTGACCCAAAAATACAACAATCATAAAATTTGTATTGGTTAAATAAAAAATGAAATTCAAATATAATTATAAATTATATTTAAAAATAAAGAGATAATGTTAAATATTTATTTTCGAATAATACACATGGAGTCTAACTTTTTTACACTATATATTTTTTTTAATTGCAAAATAAACATGAGACATTATGCGGACAATACAGATTTTAAGTATAATTTGACAAAGCATAACAAATGCAATCACTAGCAATTTAACCTAGTATACATATTGAAATTTAAAAGCTGGAGATAAATCTTATTTCAGATTTTTAAAATTTTAATACGCTATTGATATTTTCTTTAATAATTTAGTGAAATCATTTTTCTTTTGATCTTACTTAACTATCGTTATTTTTTAATTTCAAGATTAAAAATATACTTATAATTCATTTTTTTGAATTTCTTTAAAATGTATTTGTTGAAATTAAGTCTCAAGTTCTTTTTTTGGTGAAATTGCATAAATATTTTGTTAGAAGGTAGTCTTATTTTTCTCTTTTTATTAACCAAATTATTTCATGTTTCCATCCTTTGAATACTTTTATTAGTCGTCTAACAACAGTTATAATATATTACACAAGATTGCTACTATTTTTTAATATATAATATATACAAATTTAAGTCTTGACATTTAAAGAAAGATACTAGATTATGACGTTTTAGCAGCTTAAGGTTTAGACTTTTTATTATAAATATAAATAAAAGTCCAATTAGCCAAACTTTATAACATATAACTAATTCAGATCTTGTTTTTAAACATTAATTTCTCTTTTAATTAATTAAATTTTTTATTATTTATCTTTTTAAGAATTCCATTTAACCTAAAAAGATATAATCCCCTTTAAATTAACCGTTGCTATCAGAGTCTTCATAGGTGAGTAAAAATCGAACCAATCAATAAATTGAATCGAAAAATACTACTGATTTATTGTAATTGGATTATTGGATTAACAATTTATAATAATTTTATAAAATAAGTATGTTAGGTTATCAATTCAATTTTAATTTTTACTATTGGGTTACTGAATAAATTGATAATTCATTAAAGTAATAGTAATTTACTCCTTTACTCCCCGTATAAATATTAAATACCAATATTATATCTCATTGATAACTACCTTTTAATTTAGCCTTCAATTTACATGTGTTGCACTTGTATAGTGTTTCTCGTATCATTGGCTAATGTTTATATTTTATGAGAATTATGAAAAGTTATATCATTGACTTTTTGAGCTCGGTTATTAAAAAATTGATATGTATATTATATGAGTATTTTTTATTAATTAAATTGAAATCGAACCGTTAAGGATAAAAATATGATAAATTACAAAATATTTTATTGATTTAATTACTGATTTGACCTATCTAAAAATCAATAAGCTAGATCGATAATATATAAAATTAACAGATGTAACCTATTTCTTTCTCATAATCTTTTTTTGAAAAAAAAAAATAAAGAAAGAGTCATCAAGCTCGTGAACCCAATCAAACACCCACCTAAAACATACTTCTCTTTCATTTGAAATTAACAAACTCATCTTCTTAAGCATTTATTCATTTTCCAATTTCTTTTGTTGCTTAAACTGGATAAGTTTGTTATTTGAACAATTAAGTTTTATCCTTATAAAGTTATATTTTCTACTGCAGATACAATTAATGTTCAATTTAAGGTAACCTGATTTGACAAATTAAAATATTGAAAATTGTAGGCAAAGGAGGTGAAATGTGGTCTGAAACTGATACAACAAATATATAATTCGTTTGGTTTGAGACATAAAATATAATATTTTTAGGGATAAAATATTATCCTGTATTAAATTAAAGGTACTAAACAATTTTGAGATTATTTATTCTATTACTTATATTTTAATAATAAAATAAATTATTTAATAATAAAATAAATTATTTCATATATATGATGCAATAACTTATTTTTAAGATAAAAATTATCACTAAAACTCATATAAAACTAAAGGAAGTTGGATAATAATAGATGAATTTTTGGTCATTCATAAAACTAGACTCTTGATTTTTACTAGTTACTATTTCTTTTTTCAGACATACTGTTATTTGGAAATGAATGGTATAATCATAATTTGACCGGTTCTATCAGTCGTGCCAATAGTCTATGAAAATGAGGGATTAAAGGCATTAATTTTTTAAAATACAAAAATAAATTAGAAAACTCAAGAAAATTAATTAATCAAAAGAACTCCCTCAATTTCAAAATAATTAAATTGTTAAACTAATGCACACTCGTTAAGAACAAAAGTTTAGGACATAAAATAAACACCATTTTTCACTTTGCCCTTTTTAGATATTTTCAAACTATTTTTAAAATTATAATTTAAGAATAAAATAATAAATGTAAATAAGTACTCCTTTCGTACACTTTTATTTGTCACGTTATATTTTTCAATCAATTTGACTAATTTCTAAAGTTAAATTATATTACATTAATTTGATGTTTTAAATAAAAAATTTAGATATTCAAAAACTATATGAAAGTATTATAAATTGTAATTTTTACATATCAATATGATGAAAAAATACATCTTAAAATGTTAGTCAAAGTTCTTATAATTTAACTCTAAAAATATAAACCATGACAAACAATAGTGGACGGAGAAAATAACTCTTTTGAAATTATCACCTATAAGCTGTAAATGAGAGGCAAAAATGAAAAAGAAAATTCTAACAATTTTCTAGCTTGAACTTTGGACAATTTACTTATTTTAAATTATAAACAAATGTTCGATAATTCACTTCATTTGAATCGGAGGAAAATATTATAAAAAGGCAAATGGGTCAAATATTAATTTTTTAATTTACATTTGCATTAATAATAAATAAGTTAAATTAACATTAAGAAGCTAAATCTGATGAGATCACTGAGACTGTCCCTAATAATTTTTTACTATTATAGTATAATGTAAAAATGCACCTAAACTTAAGATGGCTCCCTCTGCATTTAATAATATAGTTAACTAATTCAGTTATAAGAAAAAAGAGAGAAAATACAATAAGCAAGCAAACAAAAAAAAATCATTAATTATTCAACCATAAATAAAATTGTAGCAACAAAATAGGTAGAAAGCCCAAAAAAAATTCCAAGCTTTTAATACTTTCGTCAAATATAATTATTCACTGAAATTTGCCTAGCATGAAACAACAACTTCAGCATCTTCGTTACTCATCAAAGAAACTTTCATCTTTTGCTAAACCCGTTTTATACTTCCTTTGTTTTCTTTTAGCTTATTCGATTGGTTATCTGTCTAGCTCTACGCGTAACAATAGCAAACCACCAGATCATATAAACACTATGGTCGCTGATGTAATTAACCGCGCGACAATGAAATCAGGCGGCGACCACAATGATTTTGGGGCGGTATGTGGTGAGGCAGTTCCGCCGCAACACATCCGTCGGAATATTCTGGAGCGTGTCTTTAAGGGAACATCTCCGTGGGAGAATTTCCCGCCATCGAACGTGGAGAGTCTCCTCAGGAAAAAGTGGATCAAAGGATGGGGATCAAACGGGGCGGTTTTTGAGAATTTAATCCGGAAGGTCCGACCCAAGACGATAATCGAAGTAGGTACGTTTTTGGGCGCATCTGCTCTTCATATGTTCGAATTGACCCGTGGATTGGGTTTATACGATACTCAAATCATCTGTATAGATGATTTTCGAGGATGGCCGGGTTTTTCAGATCATTTACGGATGAAAGATATGAAGATGGTGAATGGAGACGTTTTACTGATGTATCAGTTCATGCAGAACGTGATGCAGGCGAACGCTACGGAGTCCGTAGTGTACATGCCTTTCTCCAGCGGATCAGCGCTGGAGAAGCTGTGTGAGTGGGGTGTGTTTGGTGAGTTGATTGAGGTTGATGCTGGACATGATTTTCACTCGGCTTGGTCTGATATAAACCGCGCTTTCAAGCTGTTAAAGCCCGGTTTAGAAGGCGGAGTTATATTTGGACATGACTATTTCACCGTGGCTGATAACAGAGGAGTGAGAAGAGCTGTCAATTTGTTTGCTCGTGCTCATAATCTCACTGTTCAAGTTGATGGACAGCATTGGGTTTTCTATATTAACAATCGTTTGTGATCATACTGATATATTGATGGATTGTATAAGCTATTGTAAAACAAAGAGTTACATTTACTTGAAGCTAATTGAGAGATGTGTACATATTATATTGCTAGACTATATTTGATCTTCTATGAAACCATATACTAGACTAAACTGAATTCTGTAACGCCCAAAATTATCTATCTAGTTGATTATATTCAATGTTCGAGTAGTGGGATTCAAAATAAAAAGAAGTAAACACTCAAAGAAACGGGAAATTCTTAATTTGATTCTATCATATACAACATAAAAAATGATTTCAATCTCATATATAATAGTGTAATTTTCTGCCCAAAAAGGGTTCCGATGAATTCACTGTTCCTAACGGTACTTTTTGGGCCTTTTCCCTTTCACTTCTGTCCATCTAAATATTTCAGATGGACAGAAACTGTTCGAAACTTGAAATTGGTTAACAGAGATACAGTGTTTTGGTCTGTTCATATGGTTTTATTTTATTTTTATTGTTGTTGTCTTTTCAGTTTATATTTTGTATATATAACACTCTAGTAATCAATTAGTTTAATCATATATTTTCCTTCTTCATTAATATGATAATACCAACAGTTTCTATATCCATATTACTTGTTCCATTTGATTCTCCTTTTTTTTTTGTGCGCGCGCTATGTTGGAATAAGATATGCTTTGAACTTGTTAAAATAAATTGAAATGTGTGCTTCAGTGGAATGTTTTTCGAATTCGTGTCTTTGAACAATGACATTGCAGTATATAAAAAAAGCGAAGCCTCTGATTTTGCTATGTTTTTTTTTTTAAATCTCAAGATAACCAGCAACTGCTACAAGCTCTGCTACATCCTTTGCCCATCGAGTACACACTAATAAACACCCAACTGTGTAATAGCTTGCAAACGACACACGATATAAACAACCCAGGATAACGTGCAGCCACTACAATCTCTGCCACAACCTCTTTCCATGGAGTGCGCACTTGGATAAACCCCCACTGTAATAGCCTTCAAACCAGTGCACACTGGGTAAACTTCAATCGTGTAATAGCATGCAAACAACACAGGAATATAAACAACACTAAGCAAGCCCTATGCGGCACACTCAACTCAGAAGGCATTGAGGGGGATCGATCCGAATCATCCATGTAGATAACCACTATTCAAACCAACTGAGTCACCCAAAAGGACAAATAGCTATGTTAATGATATTGTTTTTGGAACAGTGATGTTACTTACTAGATCCACAAGATAAAACACTTTGTTTCTGCTGGTAGAATTGAGGGAATGTCATGGCCCTTTTTAGTTTTATGTGTTCAGTATGTTGTGACTTTATTATAGCTGTTTCAAACCGAGAGACTTTCCCTGTTCTCTGTATTTTTATTCAGGAACAATAAATGATATTGAAACGTGCATTTGTCCTTAAAACAGTTGTGATTTATGCATCTACCTTCTTCTTTTTCTCCTACTTGTATGCATAACAGCATAAGTTCACCTTTTTCTCTTTCCCAGAAATGGTTGAACACTTGGATCAATTGATATGATTCATTCCTTAATTACTATAGATTTGTTTTGAAATGCAACAACAAGTTCAAAATAAAACCATCAAGTAGTATTGTCAGATGACACATAATCTCCATATCAACAGTTCGACTGCAACAATTAATCGAACAGATGTGAGTGCAAAAATCAAAATGTTAAAAAGATTTTCAAAAAAACAATCTGTTTGATGATATAAAATGAACTTAAAAAGAAACTAAAGATTCTATACTCGATTCCGACTTGTTTGAGAATGAATTTTTATGAAAACTGTATAACAGGTTAACAGATACTGTGATGTATGAACACAAGAGACATATATTTGATGATTAGGCGTGGTGACTTACTAGAAGCCATTCAAGACGCAGAAAAATTAGTCATACTATATTCATGTGATAATCTAGAAGAATAAAATTTTCACCCAAGATCGGTTTGTGAAATGAATACCCGTAACAATAAGGGTTCGAAAAATTATGAATTGATTAATTAAATTCATATATTTTTTTTAATAGTAGAAGTTTTTTTTTTTTTTCTTTTTTTTCTTTTTTTTTAATAGTAGAAGTTGAAAAATGAAAAATGATACTTGCATTGTATAATTGCCTTCTTTATTTATGTATTGTATATTTTTTTTGAATTCTTTTTACCTCGATTTTTTCATTATTCATGTAACTGTTGTTACTAAGAGTAAGAGCAAGTATAAAGTAATTAAATTTATACTCAAAGTTATTTGATAAATTTTTTCGTCAAGAACTTTTTGTGCTTTTTTTCTAATTATATAATGATAAAATATAACTTTTAATATTTTAAGTTCTTTTAATTTAATATATTTATAAATATTAATTATTTGTAACTTATACTCTTTAATTTTAGTTTTAATAATTTTATAAATTACGAGTATAATCTTAAGATTAAGTCATCTACGACTTCTTAAAGTTATTCTCGTAATTCATTTGGACACCTTAATTAACACTTGTATCTATTAAACACCTAAATTACTTAAAACATATACTTATTAAACACAAAATGCTGATCTGACAAAATAAATGTAACTCATTGTGCCTCTATAAACTTTTTTTTAAAAAAATTAAAATAAATTAGCGCTTATTTTCTTTACAGTTGGCATGTATTGATTAAATAACTAAAAATTCAATTAATCAAACATTTATCTCTTTATTTATAAAAAAATAACTCTACACCCGTATACAAGTCCTCCTCTTCTTCTTCAACCCACCATTTTAAGACTTCAAATTCTCTACCTTTTGTTTTGTTGTTCTTATTTTTTACTTTATTTTTAGTTATAAACAAAACTAATTGACTTTGTAAGAATTAAAAAAATTATCGTTGGAGTTAAAATGTTAGTTGATATTCATGAATCTCTATTTTTAATAACTCTAATAAAGAAATCATCACCATCATTAAACTTATTAAAAATGATTTTAAAATTTTTATTTTTATTTATTTTCACCTTGATA